ATGGCGCATTGAAGAATTATGGATGTAAGTGAGGAAGACAGCGAGCGGCGGTGGATAGATGGATAAACAGACGCTGTCGCTGAAAACGTTTATATGAAGGGATTTAAATAACAAGTCCAAGTTGGTTTTTAGCACATTTATCAACCCCCGTGGAGGATCTGCAGATTCTTAGTTTATAACCAGATTGACTATAAAGTGATCTGAGTGGATGAAGACACTCAGATAAAGAGGGAGTGCTCTGATTGAGTAGACAAATGCAGAGGTGGAAAAACTCCAAAACAAACATGGGGAGCTGTTCAAGTGTCTGCCCCATTTACAGATGATACAGTCATTGTTGCAAAGGTTGCTGGTTTGACTCCCAGCTCTGGTATTTTGTTACTGTTACGTACCAAAAGATGTGAAAAGGGATGAAGGTAAAACCAAGGTTAAGTAATGGCATCCAGGGTAATTAATCAAACAGAAATGTTTACTCTTTGAGGTTAAACAACCAACTTAAATGAAGCAATTTGCCTAGATAAACACCAGTCAAACACAAATGGTCAGCAAAGATAACAAAGGAAAACAGCAAATGCACTGCATACCTCCTGAACCTCACATATTTCCTTTACATTTCGTGCCCATCCTCAGCTGTCTTCATACTTTCTTAAAAAAAATAGCCAAAACTTAACCTAAAAAAAACTTGGTGAGCCCTCCAGGAGAACCCTGTCAGTACCGATCTGTTTATTTCATATAATGAATTGTCTGCCTTTAATAATCCACAGTTTGACTTTACAAAACCACCGGCAAAAACACATAGATAGAGAAAAGTTTCGCCTCCTGTTGTTACATCACCACAGGAGCCGATTTAAAACGCCTCTTTTTCTCAGAGTGTGTGCATTACAGAAACAACACAGAGGTTTTCTACATCATTTTCTCAGAGTTGCTAATCTAATGCATGTTTAAGGTATATAAATGCATGCAAGAAAAATGTAAGACCTTTCAGATTTGAAGAAAAACGTTTGACAAATTGACAGACTGGTTAATCTATGAATTTATCACTTTCTGGCAAACATTTTAATCCATAAGATCTGCATAAATAGCCTTTTAATTTACAATGTAGAGACAATAGCGTGACCTCCTAGAAATATTGAATGATGGAGCTGTGTGGCGTCGCCCAACGGCTATCAATGGAGCGAGGAGATGAGACTTCACCGCGCTCACCCTGCTCACCATGAGCCATAAAGCCATATCTCATCTGATACTCAGGCACACGTACACACAGATGATCCAATTTTTCTCCAGCATAAGAAAAAACTCTCCTGTTTTTTTTTTTTTTTTTCTTTCTAACTTATGACAGAAGCCATCTCTTTGTCTTTCCTCGCCCTATCCGGTCCCCCTCCCTCTTCTCCTTTGGTTCGCTCCGGCGTCTGGCTAAGTGAAGATAAGTGAAGACAGCATCATACTGAGTTTGAAGTGGAGACATCCTCGTAATCAGTTAAATAGCTTAAAAAAGCCTGTGGAGCACTGCATGAGACTCAAAAGTACATATTATCTTTCCATTAGAGCAATCAAAAAACAATATGCTGTGTAATATGACGCTGACTGTGCCTTAAATGTCATATTTCATAAACCCACAAATTCAGCCAAGTATCTACATCCTGCACTGATTGATTTGTTCTCTTCCCCGTCACAGGGAACGTTCAAATCATTTAACGACAGGAGTGGGAGCTGTTACTCAGCGTACAAACTGCCAGAAGAATGAATCAGAAGCTGAGGAGTATATATCCTCATGCTATTTTTACCCAACCTGCCCAGCACAATGCTTAATGGGAGCAAAATAGAAACACAAACAGATGCATGCGGGCAAAACATGTGTTTTGTCAGTCAGTTTGAGTTAAGGATGATGAAATTTGATTTCCCCTCAAGGGTTCAGGATGTCTTCAGATACAGGTGCAGAGTTCATATCCCAGAAAAGGGTCCTCAGTCATTTAGGAGTCAGTCAGGACGACACGTGCCACTGTCTGAGGAAACTAAAAGGCTGGTTTATTTTGGCATCTTTAACAGGGAAGTGTGTATTTTTACTAAAGGCTAGAGCAGCCGTCAAGTACAGAGAAACAAGGAACTGAGACTAAAATCGATTTTTGCGGTCAAAACAGGGATTTTTTCAATGAGCCACAAGCAGACACTCAAGGAACTGCAGTTTTTGTCAGACGCCTGTTTTAACTATGAAGGTTCCTGCCTGGTTGTGCCAAAAGTGATGAGCAACAAATGCTTTAAAGGGATATTCCGGCGTAAAATTAATTTAGTGTCAAACACACCGTAACACTGAGTTAGACACTGTAGAGAGATGAATGTTGCCGACTGCTTGCTTTTCTAATTATACCAACTTTAGTAACGACCGCAGGATAGCAATACAGAGAGCCACGCACTCAACAAAAACACCACTCTATAGCCACAAATAATGCTCAGAACAGCACCTAACTTCATCAACAGTACATACAGGGTCCCAGCCACCAAACATCTTTTTAGCTTTGCCCAATTTCTTTAGCAAAGAGATTAAACACAGCTCACCTACCTTCTTCCAGCAGCCGCTTGTATGACCTTGAGCCAGTCCATTACAGACTACAGTGGGGTGTCGCAGCTCAAGGAAGAACATTTATAATCATTTCTTCATGGAAATGCAATGAGACTGTGATGCTAAGGCAGCAGAACTACCGCGTCTGCAGTGCAAAATGATTAATATGGTGATTATTACTTTAAGGAAATGATAAAGAAATTATAATAAATGTTCTTCCTTGAGCTGCGGCACCCCACTGGGTCTTACATGGTCTGAGAAAGGATGTTAGTTCTGGTCACTGTCATAAGATGGTGCAACAAGGCTTCAGAAATGAACGCCGATACTAACACCAGCAGTGCTGGTATCAAACATGCTAAGAGTTCAGTTTCAGTTCACCAACAACAGTTAAATATTTACAACTAAAGACTGCACAAGATTCATGAAAACCATTTCCACTGATATTTGCGCTGCAGTCATTCTAACTTTTTTCCCACAAAGAAACCAAAACTCACACAAACTAAAACCGACTTTTTGTCCTGAAACATTCATTCTTCCCTCTTTTCTCGTCCTTTCCCCGCATTCGAAAACTTTTAACGTGATTAATGCTTTACTTTCACGTCACATATATTTGTGTCAACTTTAAAATATGACTACATCCCCGCAAAATAAAACTCAAGTAAACAAAGCGAGGCTGAAATAATTCAATATCATAAATAATGCAAAATACTGGGACTAATTTGTGTGGTAAAATAGATTCCAGCTGTACCATGGCAGGTCATTGCATTATTCAGCCGTCTGGCTGAAAGTGCGCAGATTGGTGCGTGCTCGGTGTGTATACATTTTTTATTGGTGAGCTTCTTGAAGGGGTCAGAGCAGATGTGGAGTTAATGTCTGCTTGATTTTGATAAATTTATGTCCTCTCTGCTGAAAAGAGGGGAAAGGAAGCGGACGTTCTTGTGTCTGTAAAGTATTCGCCTTCGTTTACACGTGGAGGTGATATTTGTGTACGCTTCGCCCGGCTGCATTAACTCTCAAAGTTGAGTCTATCAGGAAGGGGAACTTGTTGACCTCGAGGCTTTGGCTGAACAATGCGGGAACGCTCGCTGTATGCTAAACAATCTGCAGGTGTGCGACTGTTAGTGTGTGTCTATTTGGACTTTGCATTACCAGCCGAAGCTTGCAGAGCTGGACGGAGAGGTTTCTCTGCATTAATATTTGTATTTTCACCTGATCCGTACATGATTTTTCTACGCCTGCTGATTTATAATATCTATGAGGTCTTCTGGGGTTTGCAAATGTAACATAATCTGTGATTTACATTCCCTGAATGATGCTGCTAACATCCCCAGACGCTGCTTTTGCTATTTCTTCAGTTTCTGTCTTTTGTGTCTGTCTGCCTCCCTGTCTGACTGCAGTTCTGTTGGTCTGCCTGCGCGATTATCTACAGAAATAGCAGCAGGTGTCTTGGCTCAGATTCCTCAGTAGTTCTCTTTTCCCTAATGCTTTGCTCTATATTTATGAAGGCTCTAAATACAGCGATAAAAAGCATATAGGCTGGAAAACGGTTATGGATCCCCTGTGGTAGAGTTTCAATGTTTCTTTTTACGGCAGAAACACAAATGATGTGTGAGGTGGAGGCAATTAGAGACGGATGGAAGGCTGTCCATGTCTGCTACAGAGAAGAGGAGAAAAACAGAGGTCTCCATTTTTTTCTTTTTTCTTTTTTTTAGTCTTGAACACACACACACATGCTCCTGCCTGCACATACGAATACGCAGGCACACGCACCAGACACAGCTGCTGTTAAGGCCATTACAATGAATCAGACGTGCCTCTGGGAAACGGTATGAGTCACCTACGAGCAGGGTTTGTTTGTCCACCGAGTTAAGCCTCCAGCTTTACCACTTCTGATAAAAGCATTGACACAGCAGATATTTTCTGCATGTGTTCAAAGCGCCGGGGCCGAGCTGAAATAATTGCAGCTTGCAGGAGAAAAGAAGGTAAAATTGATGTTCCACATGCAGTATTTTAATGGATTTTTATCGCGGGCTGAATTTGTAATAAATCAGGAGAGCTCTGTGGATAAACTGGCTTTAATCTAGAGGGCTCTCGCAGTCCCTCCTGACCTTGTGTCAAAGCACATCCAAGAGACACTTATTTCAGCATGAACCTCCTTTAATAAGTGTTTTTGCTGTTGTGGGTCCAAGAAACCCTCCCCCACCCAATAAAACTAACACGCTGCAAGAACACTGAAAGAATCCCTGTGAACGAGCCAAACTGAGGCATCCGGCAGCTCAGCTTGCAGCCCCTCCTGTACCTGTATCAAAGCACATAAAAGAGATTGATTTCAAAGGTCAAACGCTTTAATTTTTCACATTATCGTAATTTAATTCTCCCAAAAATCTGCATCCAGGAAGACTAAAAGAATCTGACATAAATGGGATAAACTTATACTCGTAGCAGCTCAGCTTGCAGCTCCTCTTGACCTCAAGGTGGTTTTGTAGCACCAGTTTTCCTGTATTGACTGTTCTCACTATAGAATTTAAGGATCCTTAAACTTTGCTGGACGGTACAGAAGGAATCCTGAGGTAAAGACGCATTGCTACGCTGACACTTGCAGCAGCTCAGCTTGCAGCTCCTCTTAACCTTCTAAAAAAGCATGAGACACTGAACTCATCCTGAAACTTCTTTGCTGACTGATTTTACTGTTTTGTTTAAAATTTCATGTTGAGATCAGAGATAACACATTGAATACTGACGTAAAGAGGCCTTGCCTAAAAGAGATAATACTTGCAGCAGCTCAGCTTGCAGCCTCTTCTGTGTCAAAGCACATCATAACGACTGATTTTAAAAGTGAAACTCATTCATTTTTCACACACTCAAAATTTAAGTCCCCCCAAAATTTGCATGCAGGAACACCAAAAGAAACTTGACATAAATGAGATTAACTTATATTCGCAGCAGCTCAGCTTGCAGCTCCTCTTGACCTCCTGTGTGCAAGCATGCTATAAAGACACTTAGCTGAATCTTCCACTTCAAATCCACAAACATGTTTTGATCGGAGATAACAGACCAAATACCAACGTAAACAGGCCTTGCTTAAAAGAGATGAGATACCACTTGTAGCAGCTCAGCTTGCAGCCTCCTTGCATTTCTGGACTTTTCTTAATCCTGCCAGACAGTTTTAGTTTAAATCAGTTTTAAGCGGTTATTCTGGCTTCATGATTCTGCCTGATTATCTCACTAATGTATGCTCTAAATTTACACTGTCACAAAAGTCCCCCTTTAAAATAGTGTACCAGAAGACACCGGCACAGCGCTCACACACATGTACCACCATGAGCAGGAATGTAAAAATCAATGTGGCATAATGAGGTTCAGGAGGTTACATAATCAACCCCTGAAACAAAAGAAACGATGAGGTCTCGTCCGACACAAGCAACCAAAGAAAGGCGGCACAAACGGCCGATCATACGCCAAGACTCGCCTCATTCCTTTAATGTGACCGGGCTTATCCGCCCCTGTGCAAACGTGCCCCTGCAGAAATGAAGATAACTCTAAAGACTGGATATGCAAACAAAAAAAAAAAAAAAAGAGGGATCCCAGATTAGTCAGTCAGGAAATCTTTTGCGATTTCCTTATGCAGATGAAAAACAGAGCACGCCCGGAATAGATGAGATGTCTCTTTTGACACGAGAATTGTTCCAATTATTGTTATAAGCCCAGAATTAGAAAGTCAAACAGAGCACTCAGTAGACTGAGAAAAGGCTGCATACCAAGGGTGGGTGCGCACGCATAATGATCGGCACGGACGATACATGCGATCGTAATGACACATGCAATCAGTCAAGCGTGGGTTTTATCATTATTCATATATTACAGCCTCAACACAGACCATAAAGCCGGGTTTCAAATGAGCTGTGGGAGGAATCAACCTTATTCAAGGGCACGTGTGCAGGGCATGAATGTGAGTACACACAAACACAAGCATGGACTTGGAAAATACAGAATCTCCAACACTGTCTGAACACACAGTAAGCCCGCGACAAGTTCTTTTGTGTGTCTTGAGTGCTTGTGTAAACCTGGCGGCGTGCCTACGGTTCGTCGCCGCGCTCTGCTGTCACTGCGTACCAGCTGCCTTCTTCAGGGTGGTGAGGGATCTTTAATCACACACACACAAACAGTGTCTGGCAAATTACTGCCTGCTGACTAGAATTGATAAACCAATAGCCACAAGAACAGGGGAGCCAGAGCCATTTGTTTGGAGGAGCCGCCTCGGTGGCGTTGGAGGGTTGTCATGGTACCGAAATTCAAAACTTCAAAACAACACTATAAAAAAAAAAAAAACACTCAATACTCATTTTGATTCCACAGCAAAAGTGCATGTAGGCTTACTGTCTCCACACACCAAGTGTGAGTAAAATCATTCGCGCGAATGAATTACATGTTAAGTCAATGCAAAGACGCGATTAGTCGCTTCTATTTCTCTGGTGGCGCGAATGACGCAAATTGGGCAGGAGCTGAAAATGTCTCAACTTGAGCTGACAGTCGTGTCGTGATGACCAACCAGCACTAAGGTTGCCAGGTGACGTATGACAGACGGTTGTTCACTGGTGTCGGTGTGTGGGTGCCCCGAATTATGTGATACCTTTTCTTTCAAATACCGAAACCGGAATAAAAAGAAGCTCATCTGGAGGCAAGTTAGCGAGCAGGTCGGATTACGTTGTAAATTGTAAAAAGCTTATGTCTATCACTTGATCCCGCTGGTTGAATTGGCAGGGATTACCGTTGAATTTACCGTTGATGCGCGACTGAAGCGAGTAAATACAATTCATTCATGCGTCTAGATTCGCGCGAATGAAGCGAGTAGATGACTTTAACTCGCGCTTGTTGTGGACGCTCCATAACACGTCAGTTTGATATTGGTCAATCATCATTTTTCGTTACTGATACTACCACCCCAAGTCAAAACTTCAATTTGGAGTTTATGTTCGCTAAGGACCCTTTATTTCACGATGAAGATGAGACGATGACAAACCAAAATATAACACTGAAAACACAAACTCTGATGAAAAACGTTTTATTTCTCTGATTAAAAAGATGATGTCGAACCCAAACTGTTTTCAGAGGACCGTCTTCCCCACAGCGTATCTGGCCTTGTATCTAGGGATTACCTTTGAGATTACTGTGCGAATGAAGCGAATAAATACTATTCATTCACGCATCTAGATTCGCACGAATTTAGCGAGTAGATGATTTTGGGTATGGGTATTTACATAGTGCAACAATTAAAAAGTTACATACACCTCCTTTAATCACTCTCAGCTCAATCTCATTTTCAGACATTTTCTTTTCGAGTTTTAGCAGTTTAAAAAGTTTTCAAAGTTTGAAATCACTGGAGCAGCATCCTTAAACACACTAGAGATGCTGGATACAAATATTTAAGTAGCAACACATCAGCCGAGGCTTTGAAGTTGTGTAGGAAAAACAAATTTGTGGTTGAGAAAAACCTCCAGACCTCATGTCAGTGTGTAAAAGCCGAAGAGAGAAGAACCTCAACTGAGCAGCATCATTTATGACTGGCCTCTGGCCTCAAATCCATGAAGCTGAGATCAGACAAAAGCATGCAGAGCGTAAGGAAAATACCCACGGTGCTGATGGTGAGCGGTGGAGGCGGAGAAGGGAGAGGGTTCAGAGATCACAGATTTGGGAGTAAAGCGAGGCTGGGCTGGTGGTACGGTCGCTGCAGCAGCTGCATGACCGTACCCGAAGAAATGACACAAGGCCTCCCTGTCGGGGCAAAGACTGCAAACAAGAGTCTTGAGGATTGATCCTAATGCACTAATGATGCTGCAGCTGTCATGGACTTATCACTCCTCGCTCTCCGGTGCTCTTTCCACTGCTGCATACAGACGTATCCCTCACGCTCCTTTGAACTCTCCTCAGACCTTTCTCTCTGCTTCTCGTCTCCTGTTTTTCCTCCGCTCTCTCATTTATTCTGACATATTCCACTCCGTGTCTCGTCTTTCTTTTTTCGACTACCTGGGGCTTTGATTTACCTTTTCTCACAGGGGCCTGATTTGATCCTCTGATGTTGCTCTATGTGGTTTTTAATCCTCCTTTCTTCCAATACAGTTGGAATTACAATGCTAACAAAGCAGCTGAGCGTCATTCTTTCCCCTCTTTCGAGAACGACACATGTGCACACCTGCTGCTTTCTCTGCTCGATAGACCCGTCCACATCCCAGCTCTCTGTCCCTCCACCTGTCTACTCTCCTCAGAAGTTCCCCGCGCTAATCTCACGCAGCAAAGCGGCGGCACAAGTCTCCAAATGTCCAATTGTTTACCACGGCCAAGCGTTTCACGCCCCTCACAGGGTCCAATTTGTCTGGTGGCGCCTGAAGTCTGAGTGTTGTCGTCTGCCTCGGCTGCCTGCACGCCATGCAAGAACTCAAGATGGCAGCGCGCGTCGAGCAACAGATTGGCATTTTCCTGTGGCGAGGTGTTCTCACTTTGATTCTCGATGGCAGATGTTGAGTGGCACCTTTTGGGAAGAAAGCCAGAAGAAACGACGTCTCTGCACCAAGGCGCATCACTGCTGGCTGACAGTGACATCTCAGACGCTGATGTCAGATCTGCTGTGGAGGTTTTTTTTCCGCCTATATTTCTGTTTATGTTCCCGGTTTATTCGCTGTAACCACAATATGGCAGAAAGATGCCTGTACTTCATTTCCAGCTAATCTGCCAGACTGGAAATGAAACGGAGCGACTGAGCAGCGAGGAGGAACATGAAACAAATGTCAAAGAATCCCACAGTGTAATTAGTACAGAGCAATTACAGACAGAATTCTCACTGAAATTACAGAGAACTACATTTACCACTAATGTCATGGACATACTATATTCCTAATCATTGATTAAATATGAATAATTAATTCCATTAAAACCATTTCTTATTTAAATTCTGCTCCGAGCGTAGAGGAAGAACCAATCAGGGTGTTTCGTTCGGTAATCAATTTCTGCATAAAAAGATTATGATCCCAGCATTGCTTTAATGTCACACTGCAGCCATGACTCACAAAGACGCGCGAGTCTCTGCGCTGAAATATTCACCAGAGGGGACATTTGTCCTGATGCAAAGCTGAAGGTGGGAAGATGATGTTTTGGTATTTGCTTGTTTTAGTTTGAGAATCAAGTCAATTTCACCACAACTGGAACTTGGAGTGAGCAAGATATGATTTATTTTCCATATTTGTCTCATGTCTTTAATGGAATGTTGCCCCGACACTAAGATGGCTGCCACGTAGGAACATCCCTAAGTGGGCTGCTACAGCGTGCTGGCGTATCTAGTCTTCTCTCTATATATCTAGATCTGTCCTAACGAGAGCCAAAGTCTCGCTCCAGGTCAACAACAAAAAAATGAATGAAACTTGAAACACAAGATTTCCGAGCATGTATTTGAGCTTCCATTTTCATTTAGTCAAAAGAAAGTCAAATACTGATTTGTTTTTCATTCTCCGATCTCTACGACCAAAACGAAAAACGAAAAAAGGTTTGTTTTCCGTTTTCATTCTGCGATTCTAATAGCCAAAAACGGAAAAAGCGTTTGTTTTCCGTTTTTTTTTTTCTCCAACTTTTATGGCCAACACAAAAAACAGAAAAAGATTGTTTTTCCATTTTCATTCTCCGAACATTATGACCAAAACAGAAAACAGAAAAGGTTCGGTTTCCGATTTGATTCTACGATTGTTGTGGCCAAAACGAAAAACGGAGAAAGGTTTGTGTTCCATTTTCATTCTGCGATTCTTAAGGCCAAAACGGAAGAAGAGTTTTGTTTTCTGTTTTCATTATCCGATCTAATGGCCGAAATAAAAAAATGGAAAAGGTTTTTATTCCATTTTCATTCTGCGATTCTTAAGGCCAAAACGGAAAAAAAAAGTTAATTTTCCATTTTCATTGTCCAACTTTTATGGCCAAAATGAAAAACGGAAAAAGATTTGTTTTCCGTTTTTCATCTCCCGATCCCTTACTGGTCGTCGGGAAACAGCTTTTCTTCCAATTTTCATTTTTTTCATTTGAAACAAAAATCTGTTGGCTACTAAGTACACAGACCGTCAACCACTCCCCCTTCTAGCAACCTGCTTCCATACAGCTTACAAAGCTGATTACCATTCCTGACAGGGTACACAGCCAATCACAGTTGAGGATTTTAGGTCGGCCAATCAGATTTAAAGGGAGTTGAGTTTTAAACCCTGATCCAGAACAGCGAACATTCACACGTCAGTAATCTTTATTCTACAGGAGAGTTCAGTACCAAGCAGTAGTGGAAGAAAGAAGGTGGTTTAAGGCTAAAAATAACTGTCGTCCAGATCATCTTGAGTGTCAGCTTCACCTGGATTGCACTGTAACGGCGTTCGCGCTCCCCTGACTGAGCGTGCTGTCACCAGAAAAAGGCTGCCAATTGAATGTGGTGTACTGGAATAAATTACTGCATTAAGACACAAGGTTGAGAGTCCGTCTACTTAATGAATTGAAAACAATAAAACGGAGTAGTTGTGTCCTCGTTTTTCATTGCTTGTGGGGCCAGTTGGGGACACAGCAGCACACCGCCTGGTAGGCTGAGCGTTCCCTGCTGAGGATATCAATAATGCTTCTCTTTTTAACCGAAGAAGCACTGGACGTACTTTAACAGAATCCGGGTTTCCCTTCAGTGGCTCCAGATGAAATATTTAGCGCTGAATATATACAGGACATTAAATTGTAAATCCTGGAGGGTTTCCAATCAGCCTGTGAGGACAAAATGAAATGTTGAAAAAAGAGGGGGTGGGGGGGATTGGTTGGTTGACAAAGAACATGAAAACGTGCTGCAGGTCCTTTCACGGCATCCAGGAGCGAGAAGTGCAGACTCAGAGGCCGACATAAAGAACCGGAGAGCACATAAGCGCTATAGTCGCTGTGAGATGTACTGCGAGCTGAGGAAATCTGAGACAGTGACTCAGCCATCTGAATTCATTATCTGATTTTAATAATCCTTTTAAATAAAGACCTCCAGTCATCCGACATTTGAAACCCTTATTATATGACGATGTTTAAATCAAACTGGAACAAAGACTCTTGTAGCTAAGACCTTTTTTCTTCTCGGCCGCGAGCTAAATCTGCAACGACGGTAACGGTGACTGTGAGAGATCCTTTTGTCAAAGAATTGTAACTACCAGCTCCTCTCTGTTTATTTGTCCAAGACCTTATCAGGAACTTAATATGCAGTGTAAAACAAAAAATGAAATGTGCCAACAGCAAGGGACGGCTGAGAAGAGAGGGCTGTTTGCAGGATCCTGTTTGAATCGATCAAAAATGCAGAACCATGATAGCAGGAGCAGAACTCGACGGTCAAACTGATTTTAAAAAACACGACATCCCAGTGAGCGAGGCAGCAATGCCGGTCGTGTATTTTGTCTGGATTTGAAACATCTGTCTTTAAAAACCACTCATAAAATTAACAACCCTGAAAATACCACAGAATTCAGACCCTTTTTAGAGCGTTGGGCTTCTTTTAATGGGACCGGTGCGACCAGTGTGCCACTAAATGCAGAGAGAGGCGTTTTATTGTGTTTTGGTATTTCACCCAGAGGATGATGTTGGAGAGGAGATGCTGGGTGGCCTACATTGGCCAGCCTTGTAACACTTCCCTCCCTCGTTAGGTTTTAACCATGCATTCAGAGAAAACAGAGGTATACTATTACGTTAAAAAAAGTACTTTTGGACAGCTGATTTAGCTGAAACCACTCAAGAGGATGAGTAACCAACAGAAGTGGGCGATTCAAGTTAGTAACAACTACCAGTGCAGCCTCTATAGGGATCAAGTACTAGCAAGGAGCTACGCGGTTGCACAGAAACTGCACATTGCTTATTTTGCTTGAAGTCGTGAAAATCTACAGACAGAAAGACAGCAACATTCAGGACACCCCAAAACAAACTCTAGTATATTCAGTGTTACCCGTACATTCATTCTGCTGCTGAATTACATGCGCCGCTACTGAATTTTCACATGTTCATTTATGCCACCACTACTGATTTCTACTCACACTGTGTGAGAACAACAATACACGTTATTTTCAACTTGTTTTGAGTCTTTAACGAGCGCATCAAATCCTGTTTGACCCTCTTCTATTAACGTGAAAGGTACCGTTCAAGCTTATACACAGTCTATAAAGTGAGTAGCGCGGGTAACGTCATGTAACGTGAACGGAGTAGCGTAGCTCCATGAGCGTGGGAGTAACGGTGAACCCCCCAAACACAGAAGCACTGCTGCAAAAAAAAAAAATTCTAGTGGAAACACTGATATTGGTGCAACCTTTATTGTGGATTTGAAAGCTGTATAAAAAATTAAATAAAATCTAGTGTCCAGGCAAGTTCCAGCAAAGCAATATTTTGTTAATGTTGCTACATTCTGATATGCAGTTTGTATATCTTTTGTGGGCTGAATAAACAAACTCAGATGAGGGAAAATTTCAACACTTTCATTAGAGCTCTTATGAGTTTTTTGACGTTTACAAAATGGACTAAAAATTATTTTTCCTGTCTGTCCATGAAATCCAAATGCAAACTAGACCATTAGCTTCAAAATTTATATTGTATTATAACCTGATTTGTAATGGCCAAAACCAGTGTGAGGGGGTAGGTGTCAGCCTGACTGCTAAAAAACAGTCTTTTCCACATTAAGCTAATACAATAATGATGCTTTCCGTGATTAGAAATCAATGGAATGTTTTTGACAAGGCCAAACACTAACTACTTTCTCCACAGGGGGCGCAAATCTGACTCAAACCAAAACTTCCTCGCAGGAGCTTTAATGGAAATGTCAAGTTCAGCTTTGGCTGTTCAGACTTTAGGATTATAAACTCAAAGTTGCTGCGAGGAACTAAAGTTTAGATTGTGGCGCCTCCTGTGGACAAAATATGCATCTCATTTTTTTGGCTGATACTTTTCTTTCTCCCCATCATGCCTCTTTAATATTCAGAATAAAATGAGGCCAATTTGAATTTGCAAAATAAAATTAGCAGCCTGCACAAATATGTGACCAAGGTTTTCCTGGAAAAACAGCGATAGGGAGCCAAGTGAAGAAAAGGCTTCTATAAAATGGGACCTGGCGTGAAATCCACTCGAGTCATAAACACAAATCCAAGAACACAAGAATGGATGATGGGTAAAGGTGCCCAGGGGTCAGGTTTTATTGCTTTGGTCCTGTTTATGTATTTGTTTCCCACTTGTGTTGTCTGTGTAGTTGTTGTTGAATTTATTTGAGGTATAATCAGAAAACCTAACATGGGATTCACTACAGTGATCATTATTCAGACAAATAAAGCGAAGAAATATTCAAAAGCTAATATATTTTTTGAAAGCTCGGCACATTAGAGATGATAACATGGATCTGGTGTGTGCGCAAACCTTTTCAAATTTACAATGGAAGTGGAGCAAATAAAAAAATTACAGTTTCGAGCAATTCCACGGGGATGAATAGAGCTGAGTGAAAGCCCATACTTTACAGGAAAGGAACCGAGCAGCAAATGTCACGGCACTTTCTCTGTGAAATGTGAAATTATTAATGTTCGCAATCTTTTTAAGATTCAGATTCTCCTTTCACCGCCATGAATGCGAGGAGCGGGAGCGCCAGACAAAACAGTGCATCAGCGGACACATTTTATGGAAGGGCGAACTCGCCACGGCAGAGCTAATCTGAAGCAGACATAGTATGAGGTCAACACCGGATCCCTCGCACAATAAACCCACTCTGTACTTCATTAGTGTGGACTTCACGCTGCAGAAACTTCTCCAAAGAGCATTTTAAGCCAAAACGAAAATGAAGAATTATTGGTGTTGATGCAGGAAGCTCCTCTGGCAGCCATGCAGAGTCTCCCACTGTAGAAAAGCATTTGGCGCTCAACCCTCGCAGACGGATCAGGCGCGGCTGCACGCAGGAGCCCGCGCTCCCAACTCCCAGTCAATTTGATATATTAAACAATTATTGAATATGCCACCAAACAAAACCCAGTGACACAAAGAGCTGTGTAAATCTCTGGCTGCTTCTCCTAAATTATGTATGACTCCATGAATAATTCATAAAGAGGAAGTGGAAGAGGAAGAAGAAGAAGAAGACAGCGGCGAAGAAGAAAAAAGAGAGTTGAAAATAAAACAATGGCCTGTAAATGGAATAAAAGGAGTAAAAATAAACGCTCCACAAAAAGGACGAGTTGCTGCTGTTTAGTTGAAGCTTGTGAACTTGGCAAATGGGAATGAGTCAGTCAATTCAAATTGAGTCGGCTGTCATTCATGGATGAATGGAGGCTTATTATGATGATAACATTATGGTGAAGGCCTGCACGCATGACGGATCAGCAGGCGGTGCAGTGGTACAGGACGATAATGTGATTGGCAAACAAAAAGCAAAGAGGAGTGAGAGTGTTAGTGTGTAAGAGTGGATGTCTGATTGTGTGTGTAGTGGTGGACATTGATTGATATTTGTATGGCGGCGCTCGGCTGTCCATTTAATGTGCTGCTCTGTCTCATACACATTACGTTTGAATATGAATGAGTCCTTCTGAGATCACCGCGTTGGATTTTACTCATCAAAACTGCTTTTAGAAGAAACGGAACATGACATTGGTGGTGTGAGACTCTTTCTCAGTCACTCCAGCCAGAAGTGAAGGGTTCGATCTTAGCTCCCACAGTCACATACCTTAAGATAATGAACCCCAACTGGGAGTCTTCTCTAATCTCTGCTCTACCATCACTTTCCCAAATCGTACCTACCCATGCCTGATCTACCCCATCATACCCTACCTTAATCTACCCCAGCCCACCCTACTTAACCCCAAACTCTACCCTGATCTACCCAAAATTCTCTACCCTACTGCCCAATCTTACACTCATAAACTCTACCTTACCCTACCTTACCCCTTTACCTACACTGATCTATCCTCCCTTTTCTCCAACCTCCTCTACCCTACCCTAATTAGCCTCATCCTATCGTTATCTACCTAATCCTACCCTCTAAACCTAATCTAGCGTTACTACTTCCGGCCTACCCATATCTATCCTGCCCTACATTGTAATACCCTACCCCAAGTAACTTAACCCCCACTGTACCCAGCTCTGCCCTACCCTTCTCTGATCTACCCTACCCTACCAAACCCCAAGCATTCCCTGATCTACCCTACTCTACCTTGAACTTCCTTACCCAACTCTGATCTAATCCAACCCCTTTTCTACCTACCCTACCCTAACCACCAGCTTCTCCTGAGCTACACTACCCTACCCTGATCTTCCTGTACAATCTCTGACTACCCTACCCTACCTAACCCTGACTCTACCCTTATCTAACCAACTTTATCTTATTCCCCACTCTCACGCGATCTACCTGACCCAACTTCTCCCCTTACCATCGTCTACCCTACCTAACTCCACATTCTACCCTTGACTCTCTGACCCTACTCTACTCTACCTTTTCCCTACCCTTTTCTTTTCTACCCAACCTCTCCACCACCTGACACCACTTTTCTTCACCCTGCCAAGTCTGTTTTTAAACAAATAAAGAAAAAGAAAGAAAAGAAAAATCATTCCACCAAAAATTATATGCTGTCACAAATGAGCATAAAATTTAAGACATTTTTGGTTGGCGGGGCAACACAATGCAAAAATCTTTTTGTTACAAGTAAGGGAAGTAAACACGAGCTAAGTATTGCAATTACAGCCTTTCTGAAGTCTCCTCAGACCTGAGTGACTTCTATGTCAAACTAATAATCCGAAGGTTACCTAAAGTGACCTAATATTTCAGTTTCCCAAACGTAGAAAATAGTGCAGAGCCCGAGAGAAGAGAAACGCCTTGTCACTCTGCACACGTCGGACTCGCGGTTTCTAAACATGACTGTGGACCAGGTCTGATTACAGGCTGTAGTTATTGCAACCCAGGTGCTCCAGGCTGCATGGGTTAGCCGAGCTGTCACCAGCCCCCTGCCTCACTAGCAACAGTGTTTTACATATAGATTGAATTACCTGGAACATTTCTGCTGTATGTAAATGACCATTATGCTAATAGTGTGCAAAAACTCACGTTCAAGACACGGGACGGTAGTTTCTTGTGTGTGAGTGTGTGTGTCGGTGTCCCTGTTTTGGAGTTGTGGCTCTGGAACACCCCAAGGGCAGAATTGAGACGGCTAAAACTGAGACTAATCTGCTAAGACTGCATCAAAATCCAACTTTAAAGGCGAAAAATGAAAAAAAAGCTTGGATGTGGGACACCTCTTTGTGACCCCGCGGAGACAGTAAGATGGATTCCAGACATACAGACTAACAACAGCTTAGCCTCAAACATAACAGTGAAGGGAGATGAGATCATGACACACGCGGGACCCCTGAGAATGAACAGGTGCAGAATACAAGGACAGATGACAGCTGCAGAAGTGTGACTGACGAAGAATGTGGCCTGCGAGAGGCTGCGGGGAGAAGAGAAAGAGGTAAATTAACTCAGAATGAGAGATATATGGTATAAAATATGATTAGCTCATGCAGAATAGAAGAAAAGGTGCGGAGAGAAGTGAGGAAAATCTCACCGGTCTGCTGAGAAGGTCAGAGGTGTCACATTGTAATGCTATGAGCAAGAAGCAAAAGAAGAGAAGTGATGTATGCATGCTTTACAATCTGAATGTCATGGTCATCCAGATTCAGCCTGCAGAGAGGAGACAAAAGGAGCAGAAACAGTGTGCTCGAGCTCCAGTAAGAAAAAGGGAAACGGTGATCATTAGCTGAATGCCAGGCCTTGGCTAATGAGGGGCGAACTGGAGCGAGGAGCACAGCGCTGGGGAGCTGAGGTAGCTTTTACTGAGCAATTCTGGGAGCAAGGGCCGCCACGTCCCTGCTGCCTGCTATTCTGGTCTGATTGGAGTGGTCTGAAGCAAACCAGCAAGCTCATTGTGCCGGGTGAGGCGAAGGAGAAGAAGAAGAAGGGGGGGGAGCTGAGAGAGATGGAAGACCACAAAAGAGATGCTTGTGCCCACAGGGGATCAGGTTGCAAGGCTGAGGGTCATCATCTCTGGCCTCCTTCTTTGCCGGCTGCATTCCTCCGGCCGGGCTAATTCAAAGCACATCTGTTGCCGTTGTTTCCACAGTTCGACAGCCCTCGGCACTCCTCCGGCTGCTTGTTTCTCTGCATCCCCTCACTCCTTTGTTGTCCGTCTTTTGGATTCGTGTTTGTAACGTCTCTTTGAATGTTCCCCTTACTGGACTGAAAGTCTTTTGGGACTCAGAACCAAGGTCACGATAAGATTTCAGAAATAATGTAACAGGATAAATCCAGACATTAACGTTACGTTGTCAGTCAGCAGATAAAGGCTTTTTCTTGGTATTTTCAATTTACATCTAATAATTTTCAGCTTTTTCTCCGACATTTACATCATTATTAATAAATAGGATCTATTTGTTAATTCATGGCCGCTTCTTGCAAAAGTCTAGCCTTTGGCCCGGACTACACGTATATAGATATTTATCAGGACAGAACTCAATCCTATCTGGTAGAATACCCTGTATGTCCGCCATCGTTGTTGTTGTTTTACTTTTTAATTCCCATGCGCGAGCTGCGGGTTGACGTCATCGATCTGTAAAAGTTCAACCACACGAATCCACTTATACGGATATTTTTTTATTTCTCCACTTGTTTTTTTAGATTCAGATTTTTATCTGGTTTGAGTGTTCCAAACTCCTGTTTTGGTGTGGTAGGGAGGCCGAATCGGACATAAATATGAGCGGTTTAAAATATATCCACATTCAGGTAGTTTTCAACTTTTTTCTCATAATATTACAACTTTTGAGTATTTCCTCCTTTTTATCTTAACTGTACGACTATACCGTACCTCTAATTTACAACTTTTTTCATATCTACTTCTTTTTTAATAAACTTACCACTATTCTTATGTTTACTTCTTTATTCCAATTTATGAGTTTTTGTACGACTTGCACTTTTTTCTTCACAACTGATGTTTTCCCCATTTTTTTAAGGGTATTACTGTTTTTATCCTCTGGCTTTTACACTTGTGAAATTTAAATTCCTTCTCTTTACTCGTCGTATTCATGTTTCGTTGTGTAGTATAATGAACTTTTCTCTAAGTAACCTCTTTTTTTTCATGTAACACTCCATTTTAATCTTTATTTCCCTCAGTCCTCCATCGCAGTCTACTTTTTCATGTCTTTCCTGTTTATCTGCCTCCCCGTTACTCCCCGTCTTCTTTTCAGCAGTATCTTATGCAAAATAACTGTTTTCTTGTATGCATTTTTTCATCCACCCCCTCAGTCTCTCTTTGTTTGTTTATTTTGTGTCCCTATATGCTGACGACTAATGGCTCTATTTGCATATAAACTTCTATTCATGTGTCCTTGAAGACGTCGCCTGGTTTTGGCCACCCCCCCTTTTGCCATTTCTGCTTCTTTCTGATCCGAACTCTCACTGGTTTCTCCTTATCATTTAATTTTTACTTTAAATATTTGCTCCCGCTCCTTCTTCGCGTCTCTCTCTGGTTGTTTAACACTCTGATAAGTCAACGACTAATGGCTCTATTTGCATGAAATCTACTGCTGACACAAAAGAAACGCTGATTTTGACCACCCTTGACCGCACAGCCAGACACAGCAGACCAAAAGAAGCATACATAACTCCACCTATTATCCGCTGCGATGTTGACCATAAAAAAAAGCATCTCTACGTGGGGAGATTATTAAGGCCTTGGCGCGGGGGTCTGCACTCGATTGAAGCTTTCCTTGTTCTTTCTGTTGCCTCTGGTCTTTCATGTCTTGCCAATCAGATTGACCAAGGATGCCAAAAATATCCCCCGGACTCAATCCGATGCTATGCCAGAAAAACATTGATTCGTGTTTCATCTTTAGCAGTGATCTTTCTGTTTACACCCGTAACAACATGTAATTATGACCAAAAAACAAGGCTCAAACAGAGTTTTGTTTCTCTTGGGCGTAATTGACCGTCCAGGACTTGTTTTGTGAGGATTCACTGTCCTGCTCTTGGCAATCGAAAATGTACTAATCACAAAGTGCGCTGATTATTATTCATAGAGTTGATGCCATGTAAAACAGAGAGCCGAGACACCCATGTTCAAAGCTGTCTGGGCTGATTAGCATGCTGGAGTTCTGCTGGCGTATCCTGGGTGAGTCATTACCGAAACGTCTCTAATTGCACACTCGTCGATTAAACCTGCTTTCTCATTCACAGTGACCCTGACAAGTAGATGAGTAAAGTTGAAGAGTTTGCTATGTCTTTATCCTCCTTTTTAACTCATTTATCCGAGTTGAATTGTAAAGCGTGGAAAGTTCATAAAGTTCCCAAGCTCTCTATTTTATGAAGAACAAACTTATAAGAGGGTTCAAATATTGAAGTTAAAGCACCACTTCCAATAATTGGTCATCTTTACGGACCAGAAGAAGGACAAAGGTTGCGGGAGGTTATTCAGCTGGATTCACATTTTAATAAAACTCAAGAAAACCCAGCGGAAATGTCAGAGCGAACCCAAACAGCCACATGTCTTCCCATTTTGTCCCAGTAGCTATCTTGTAAAACTTCTGGGGTGAGTGGATGTCCGAATTAAAACAGCAGGAAAAACTAAGAAAAATTCCCCTCAAGAGACCAAAATGACAGAAAACAGGGTGAAAATACAAATTAATACAAAAAATTAAGAGCGGATGAACAATTATGCATCCTCACCCTCAAAAGACGACACCAGACCAGCTTATCTTAGGCCCTAAAATGCCAGTCATGTTTTGTCCAACACCAACCAATCAGGGCTGTCGCTCTGTCTACTACTGATGCGAGGCTCTACGACATGAATGTAAATAAATCTATATGGAGACGGGGTTCTTATAAGCCTTTGTTTGCATGACAACATTAACCTGCAAAGCCGTTAAAAACTGGTGGTGCTAGCTCTGATAGTGTTAGTCACGCTAGGCTAAACGTAGGTTTTAACCTACGATAATATGTGATAGATAGATAGATAGATAGATAGATAGATAGATAGATAGATAGATAGATAGATAGATTGACAGCCAGGTTTCAGTTAAGGACACTGTTAGCAAAATAAATTCTCAATAGTGAAGATTTACTGCTGTGAGGGGCGTGTACAAGCATGCTACTTTAAAAATTTGTGAGGTAGAGCTCCATAGAAATGTATTCATGCAAAGGGCTTTTGATTATTACGACGATGGTAAAAATCTATCTGACTTCTCACCCCGACTTTCCTCAACAGAATAAAGCAGGGCTTGACACGATTTTTTTTCAGAAGGAACACATGCTCCTAAGTTGAATAATAAGAATTTATCAAATAATGTGTCTTATTGTCCGACATCAGTACTATTATTTGAAATCAACTTTAGGTCAATTGGTCACATGACACGGAAGCTATTGATAGAAAACAGCCTTTAAATTTAACACAAAAATCTTTAGAGGACAAATTAGGGAAATAAAGAGGTTTGTCTTATCGTCTGACGTTAGTAATATTATTTGAAATCAATTTTAGGTCAATTGGTCACATGACATGGAAGCTATTAAAGGAAAACAGCTTTTTCTGAGAATATCAACCGGTAATTTATTGATGGTCCCTTATTCAACACCCGATGTTGACAGCAAGGGTGCAGAGTAGATTTAACCATGCTGCTAACAGTATTCCCAGTTATGGAGAGTGAGAAGACACCGGTAGATCCGCAGTGAATGTCCGTCGAATATCCAATCAAATATCCAACCATTTACATGAAAACATTTTGTCACCTCGGCTAATTTTTTTAAGCGCACATGTGCCCCTAAATACGTTCTACAATTCACACACATCTATTTTTAGACACAAATGCGAAACGGTCGCACTGTCGAGCCTTGTAATGTATCACTTTTTATGAATATTACCTGTAGAGAAAGTTTAAAGCTGTTTTTTGGGATTGTCAATCTTGTTGCTACAAGTCTTGTTTAAGTCATTAAGAGACATCACCGTCATTATCAGTCCATTTTCAGAGCTTGAAAGACTCCTCACTGGAGCTCTAAGAATGGAAAACTACATAAAAACGACGGTAAAGTCTCTGAATTACACTTGATTTCTAAATAACACCTTTGACATGTATGGCACATTCGCTTCAAACACAATCGCCACTCTTTCTCCTGCAATTAATGTGTTGAATTTCCTGCAAAGACCTGTTTTGGAAAGCTGGTCTTTGTAACCACATGAGAAATGACGCATAAAAAAAAAACAATATGTAAAAAGAACTGAACAGACGCCGTGTTTGAACACGCACTTGACCAAGCTGCCTCTGAGTCAGAGTAAGAGAAACTTACTCTGATTCAAGAGCTGTGAATCAGATTTAAGTGCAGTGTGCTCCACTAAAAAGGTACTTAAAAGTAGATGTTTTTGGAAACGGGGACAAACCGTGCTGTAACCGAGTTTTTCTCCGCATGAGTCCCTGTTGGCAGCTCCTCACAGATGTAGAATCAGAGAGATGACTGCGATGGTTTTATTCTATATGTGTGCAGCCTTGAGTTAAGATTGGGCGGTTTGGCGAAACATAAAAGCTGAGCAGACTTTCAATTAAAATGTAGTAAAAAAAAAAAATAATGCGTGTAATTGCTCACTGACAACTTGAACTGCGTGGGACTCCTGGGTGGAGGTTAAAGAGTAACACGGGTCAGCGAGGCTCGGCTGGTAATTGATTGGGCTGAGGCCGGAGCTGCAACATTCCTGTCCGAGTTGCACGCTGCTGGAGCAACGAGAGGCGGGTCGGAAATCACTAATAAAAGGTCTGGGTCAAGCTACTGGGAGCTGACTACATGAAACATATACAGACTGGCTGCGGGGAAGGGGATCAATAAGAGAAGAAAAGGGGGCTACATATAAAATACAGAGCGGTGTACTCCGTCCTCGTGAAACAAGGACGACAATCTTTGCAATTTGTTAAGTGCATGTTTGCTATTTTTCATTCATGCAACAAAAAAACTCCCTCTCATCCATCACAGCGCTACAGGCAGGTTTAAAAAACACCACCATGTTTAACTTCAGCCGCAAATTAGCCCAACTGATCAAAAATGCACTCCTGTAGTTCACAGGACGGCATAAAAACAGCTGTGGAGACACTCAAACCCCCTCCGACAGCTGTTTTTGATTGATTTCTCATTTGTCCCAGATATTTCGTTTTATTCCCTTCTCTGTGTTTAAAAGATTAAACAACATTTCCTTTTTTTAATCTTTCTTTTGGTGTCTTTCCTTTTTTTTGAAACTTTTCTGTGTTTACAACCGCCTAAGCAGAGAGATGACAGCGAGCGACTCAGCTGTCCTATTTTTTTTTTTTGTTCCAATAAAATGTTTTAATTTAACTTCCCTCATTAGCGAAGCATCGGGGTGATAAATAAACGTGGCTCGCTCGACACAAGAGTAATTTACATGAGGATATTAATAGATTCATCATTCAGGCTTAAGCACATCAATTATGAAAGGCCTGTAACCTGAGAAAAGTATAAAAAAGCCCCATTGAAATGATGATGAGAAATATAATTAGTTACAGCTGAGGCAAAACAAACACATTAACAATAGGTTATAAACACTGAATAATTAAATCAAAATGTGTATAAATAAATATGCTTATTTATGGACATGATGTTTCAGAAGCACTCAGAATAATTAGTCGCTGCTTTCTAGAGTTTGAGATTAATCGTAAAGTGCACATTGGGGATTTCACATGTTTCACCGGGTCATGTTCTGTTTGCACAACCACTTCGCTGATTATCAATGATGGATTCATAAAGTAGATCATGATCCAGATCCAAACCGTCCAAACCTGAACCTGGTGTCCGAGGAGATCGATCATGCTGATTGGTTCTTTAATACATACATAGAAGTGATGGTGTAATTTCTGGCTTTTTTGGAGGCTTGACCACAACCCAATGAGGGGTCGACCAATATCGTTTTTTCAGGGCTGACACAGATATTGATTATTAGACCATGAGGCTGATGGCTGACACTTGGAACTGATGTAAAAAAAGACAGTAAGAGAAAGAAAAAGTGGCGAAAGGAGGGAAAGACAGACTGGCGGTAATTAGTAATTAATTTTGCTGGTGTTCTGTAAAATAAAACACTATACAGATAGCTCATGTATGCTAATGTGGCTAAATGATAAGCTATCTGGGTGCTAACAGCTAGCCTAAGATGTTGTTTGTAAAGGCATAACAGTTTCACTGACTTCATAGCTGTGTAAAAAGTAACACCAACAAGCTGTGTCTGACTAAGACAGATAGATAGATAGATGGATGGATGGATGGATGGATGGATGGATGGATGGATGGATGGATGGATGGATGGATGGATGGATGGATGGATGGATGGATGGATGGATGGATAGATAGATAGATAGATAGATAGATAGATAGATAGATAGATAGATAGATAGATAGATAGATAGATAGATAGATAGATAGATAGATAGATAGATGGATAGATGGATAGATAGATAGATAGATACCACTTACAGATCCAAATGTCAATAAAAGATTCAGGAAACATGGACCAATCTTTGTTAACCCACTAAGACCTGAACCCTGTCTGAGACACGCCTCTGAAATCCTGAGGGCCATTTTGAGAAGGGCCCCCAGATCCTGAGGTTTTCTGAAGTGCTCATAAAAAAGCTGATATCTCGGCCTCTGTGGTTGATAGAAACAAAATTCAAGAAGTATTTAAGAGCTTACACGTGTGGCTTTCAAGATCACTATCTTTTATTTTTCAGAACCTTCATCAGATTATTGAAAACCTTGAACAAACAAACTCAAATGAAATAAAGCAGCTGTTTAAATAAAACTGAAGGCTCTGCACTGGAGAATAACAAACTATTTGCAGTCATGATAAAGTGTCCATCTAATAGAAGTGTAAATATAAAAATAAAGTGTTGAAAGGGTATACAGCTGCTCCACTGGCCACTGAAGCAGGAGAAGTAGAGGGACAATACTACTACCTTCGCTAAGGCTGGATGCTTCACCTCTGAAGCTGCTCTCTGCCTCCGTCATTGTCTACCTTTCTCACAAAGCACGTAGCAAGATCCGAGCATGAATCTGAGTGCTTTATCAAGCTTTATTAGTCTATCAGAGGCAGACAGGTATGATGATTTGATTCGCCAATGACTCCAGGATTGACTGAAAAACTACAGAATGTTACATAATGACGTATCCACGCTCCCGGCTTGGAAGGTTGAAATCTGTTCATGCCGCCCCGGTTTAAATGAATTAAATGGGATTGCAGACATCGCTCTGTGGTGGAAATCCCCACATAAGCTCTTTTTTTTGCTCCCTATACAATAAGTTTACAGTTTAAATGATTTCTGTTAAAATTTACAGGGCATCGAAATCTTTTCAGAGAAGTTTTGCACTGAATCATTTTTCAATTTAGTCATTATGAAGTGTCAAACCTGTTCTTGAAGACACTTTCTCTCCCTGGACCCGTTGAAACTTTAATTGAACACTCCTGTTCTATTGATTTCAAACTAGTGTAACTATCCAAAGCAATTCTACAGGAGAGTAGAATCAAGCCGGCGAAATCTTAAACCGTCTCTGATTGTTATTCAATCTTCCATATTGTATTTTATTCTGTTATCTCCGAAAACCAATAGACTCTGCAACTCCACGGGCAAAGTAATTTGTGGGTTTAACAAAGCGATTATGACAGTCAGCAGAAAGTCCACGGCGGCAGATTTTTATCTTCACCAAAAGATAGTGAGGACTTCATGATCACTGCTTGCAGTTGCACAGAACTCGCTGTCCAAGCAGCTGTAACAAGAAGATTTACATTTCAAAAGCATGTCTCTTCAAACCGTGTTTAACCCGGAGCCCCTAAAACAGCAATCCAAGCAGGAATCCAACTTCCCCCCTTTATTTTTTCCCTCCTCATGAAATACAGCTGCTGTGTTAAGGTGGGATTTCTACTGCATTCCACCCAGTCAATGAATAAACTGAAGGAACACCTGAGTAAATTTGGCAAAGAAGAGCTTTTCCAGATCAGGAGCTGCTCGAGAGATTAGCTATGTTTGGAGAGAAAACACAAATGCACCAACAGGAAACATCTGTGTCAGGGAGTTGTGACCTCCTGAACATGAGGGGCCGCGATCCCAAGCGGCGCAGACGGGCCGTGTGTGGTAAGTGAGGCCTTGGGCTCACTGGGAGAACCGCTTGGCCTTGGGAGTGAGGGGGAAAACCTCCATCAAGGGTATCAGGTGACTGAAGTGTGAGGGAATGAGGACTGGGCTGGGGGGACGGCTCATGAAGGAATAGCTGTGGAACCGTGGAGGAATGAGAAGCAGGATGGAGGAATGGATCATTGGGTTAGAGTGGGTTATGGTTTGTGGGTATATTGGAACGACATAAATGCATCTGATGACAGTGAAGGGTCTGGAATTCGCAGCCTATGAAAGAAGTCACGCAGACTATGTATGTAAAATGAGACGGCCTTTGTGTGAGAGCGATTATGGGATCATATAGGGTGCACAGATCAGACATGGAAGAGCCACAATAATGCTCCAGCTGTTGCCGCAGGAATAGGCTGTGGATGATGAGCGCAAGCTGCTCCAGGCTGGTGAGATGGGCCTTAAAATATACCAGAGATGGATACATATAACTGCGGAACCATAGAATAATAAACCAGTACCCAACCAGAAATAATCGACATTACACACATTCATGTTTTCGTTTTTTAGCTTATTTTCTAACAGGGGTGTTTAGGAATTTCTGTGATTTTGAACGATTATATATACTTACTAATCAACTCATCAAAAGGCAAGAAAACCCTCTCAGAGTAGTCAAAATTTAGCTTAAAATGAGTGTATATGGCTAAAATAAACATGTGCTGGTTCCTCAGATTGGGTGAGTCAGACACAGTCTACACATGACCTTTCTCCAACCTTTAGACCAAAACACCGCCAATCCACGACATGCAGCACGACTACATACTACTTACATTTGTAGCATTACTGAAGAAGACATTAACCGGAGCTTCAGACCCAGTTGTGAGACAACACAATAGCAATCAACCAAGGTAGGCCAATGAATAATGCTGATTTTATATTGTTTTAATCAAAGTGGCAAAATGTAACAAGTTGAAAATAAATGACCAACATACCTGCTGAACTTAACCAACATTTAATTACTATTATTGGCTTTTCCTTGTTAAGGTTTAGTTAAATATTGCCACAGAGGACTTATGGGTTTCTGTCTGGACATCTGTGGTATGTATAAGAAAAAAATACTAGATGAATATTTGTTTATCTTCTATTATTCAGTAGAAATGTTCCGATACCAGTATCCGAAATTGCTCCCATACTGCCGAAAATGCTGGCATCGGTACTGGAGAGTATGTAATCCAGGCACTGATCTAATACCATGTCATTTATTAAATTGGTAATTTATTAAGGTAATTCCCTTTTTATTTAAAAATATTGTGGCTGCACTTTAATTTTTAAAAAATAATCAATCCTAGATTTATTTGGTTAAATTGCATTTGCTGTTTTTATACTGTTCTCTTAAAAATAAATGGCTTGAATTTGCTATATTCATTTGTGTTTTACAAAGGGTTAAACCTGAGCCAGACCTTACCGCAATCATAATATTATTCTTATAACATACTGGTATCAGATTGGTACTCGATATCGGCCGATACCCACAGCACAAGTATCAGAATCGGTGTTGGGAGGGCAAAAATGGTATCAGAACATCTGTATTATTCAATGCATGTAACAGTCTAATATGCATGCATGTCTTAACCAGTTGCATTTTTTAGACCTACTTTTAATTAATGCAATTTTACAAACTGGCCCTGGCCAATTCAGGTGCAAACTGGCCAGGGTTTTGATATTTAATGGTTTAATTAACCCGGTGCCCACATGCCCTTGTTTTAAGTGTTCTCTGCTGACCATGCTGTATTACCTGTATAAGTTCCCCACAACTAATCAACTCCGAGTTTCCTAAAGAAGTTCCTCCGGCTTATTATCGGCGACACATTCGCTGTGGCCTTAAGACATGAAGACTGGTAAATCAGTTTGAGAGAGTGAGGAAGAAATGCTGCTGGTGCTGTTACAAGAAGACATTTTCATAGCTTCAAGTTCCACCCGCAGGACCTTGTACTTTCCGAAATTACACATTCCCTTCTTAACAGGATGTCTTTGGGTGGTAGAATAAAATAAGCCATCTTTGGAGTTTTATTCAAACCCTGGTTGCCATGGAGGAAAGTACTGAGTATTCTTGCCCCCTGAGTTCACTGGTGATTGAAATCCATTTTTAATGGCGTCCATGTCGTTCCCACGGAATATCGTAAGCATCTCAGCACAAAGAAGTCAAAAATCAGCCTCCGAAGCTCTGGAGCGTCTCCCAAGAGCATCTAAATACAGCGTTAGTCTCAGGGGAGCCGCCTTCTGGGAGACACCCCACCCCCAGGATCCCTGGGATCATCCATCCTGCCTCAGAACCCAGATGGCACATGATGCCACACGAGGCCCGATGTTGACACTCATGAAGTGGGCCAGAGCGGTCCCCAGAGGTCCAGCTGCCTTCTCATACAGTATGGACACGTCTCTTCTGAGCGTCCTCTGTCACGGCTCAGACCCCGGTGTTTAGACAGAGAGGGTTAAGGCCTGTGCTGTACGATAAGTGACCTACTCAAGGAAAGGACGGCACTGGAAAACCGGATTTCCAATAAACTGAGGTGATAGAATACAGAATCAAATATGTGACCGAGGTACCACGGAAATTGTGCCCCCGTGGAGAGAATTATATGTACAGGGAGGGAGGGGCAAGTGGGGGGTGAAGAGAAAGACGAGGCAGAGTAAAAATTGGTAACCTCTCGTGGAAGTGCCACGGAAAAATAATACATTGAGAATAAGTGATTTCTGCCTCGTGTAAATTCCAGGTGACGGGAGCTCATTTTCGTCCCCAGGAGCCTATGAATTCATAATGCCTCGCACGTGCGCTTCAAGATGTCAAGAAATGTGAGAGGAAAATAGCCAATTTCAGCCAATACTACCCTTCTGCAGACACGGTCTTTATCTCTGCCTATCCCTCGCTCTCGCACACACACCTGACACAACCACCGATGTCTGCAAATTCTTCCTTCTACGTTTTGAAAAAGGTGCCTCAAGTCGACATACGCTTTAATTCCTTTCTCGGGATTGGGATGGCATTTACAATTCAAGTTTTAAGTGGCTTTTTATCAGACGGAGTCGGCACTCTAATTCTTGGTAGTTTTTTAAAAGTTGTCTGTGCTGTCAGGTGCAGAGTGTGCGCCTGTCTTTGGTTTAAAAAAAAAAAAAAGGGGGAACCTGGAGTTCACTCATCAAGCATTTTCTAGGATAAGCATGCTGGGAAACAGTCTACTTAATTCTCTTTTTACATCATCAATCTCCCTGACTTCTCTCGCCTGATGTTTTTCTCTCTCTTCCCTGTCACTTTCATCTGTGCCCTCCATCTTTCTCGCTCCTCCTAGATGCTCTTGCATGGGTGAACAGCTGGTACAACTCTGCGTGCGTGTGTTTGTGTTTGTGTGCATTTCTCTCACTCTCACTAGGTTCATTTTAAGAAAGTGATCGGTGAACGACGAGAGGAAGGCTCACATGTGGATACAGTAAATATGTTGAAACATCTCATGTGCCCCAGAGTGTCTCGTGTCTCCGGGGACATGCTCTCCTCCCTCCGCCGCTCTATTCAACAGAGCCTTGCAAATGCGGCTGTCACTCCTGATCTACTTCCAGCGGAGGGGGAGCTCTCTCTTTTCTCTGACACGCTGTTATGCTTAAATTCCTTCTTTTAAATACCTACAGTCACAAAAGCGGGGCCACCGACTTGCACCAAAGCCATCCGAGCGGGCTGGTTGTAAAACACAGGCTGCGGAGGGTTTTTTATGTCAAGCTGTTTGATATTCAACAAGGTGAATTTTAATACTACAAAATCTAGGTTATGAGATGCGTGTCTGAGCGGAGGGTGAAATGTGGAGAGGCTTTAAAACCCTCATGTTCTTCCATGTAGAGCTCACGCTCCGAGGACTTGTAAAATAAGCAAAGTGAGAGTTTACACAAGAGAAAGTGCAGCGGTGCAAAGCCCTCTCCATCCTCCTTTCTGCCCACTGTGAGCTAGCATGGAGGACCACACCCAGTCCAGCGCCAGACAGGCAGTCTGCCCCGACTTTGTGGTCGAGCTGCCTGACTATATATGGAGATGAAATAGCAGGGTTGAGCCTTCACCCCCTTGTAAGGCCTTTTGGGACCGAGGCCTCAAAACCTAACCGAAACCTTAAAACAGCTTGTTAAAGCCACTTCCTCTAAGCCCAGATGATTACAGTCCAGAACAATGCAACAATGCAAAACCAGGAATGAAGACGCTCCTATACTTAGACTCGTCTCCCGCCTTCTTCTCCACTTCCTTTTGTCATTTATATATCATAAAAAAGAAACTGAAATCCACCCCAAACATAAACGGATTCCTGCAGAATCACATCTCTGCTTCGCTACAGGAGCTAGTGTTTTGGGGGTATTATTGAGCTAATCGGCGGATCAGCGGAGTCAGCATATGAATTCAGCTCCTCAAATCAGTTTACAGTGATGAATGGCCTTCATTTAGCCCCACAGCTGGCGTTGTTCTGAGCGCCGTCCCTGTTTTTGTTTGCCTCTGCGGTTGGAAAGTTGTTTTCTACCACGCAGTGGGCTGGAGATGCGACAAGGAGCTGAGGAGAGGCTTTAAATCCGGTGACGAGGCAAAGAGTTTCCTGCAGAGTCATCCAAGTACTGATACCAGTAATAGGACACTAAAGCCAGTATAATTATCAGTTCTAGAACTGCCCTAATGTGAAGTAAGCTATCAATGCACCAATTAGTTGTTGTGATTGACAGAAATATTAGGCAATGGGCAAACGGTAAATGATGTCAAGAGAGTCTGACTGAGGACCTCCACTGTGAAGACCTCACTTTCACTGAGTGGACCGGAAGTTGATTTAAGGCCTTTCAAAATAAAAGCAGATATATACACTGAATAGTCTAGCTGAACACTTCCACTGTGGGGACCCATCTACAGCGAGCAGACCAGAAGTTGATTTAAAGCCTTTCAAAATAAAAGCAAATATACTTGGATTACATTTTGTTGTTGTTGTTGTTGTTTAGATCGGGAGTTAATTTGAAGCCTTTTCAAAATAAAGGCAAATAAACCGGGATTACGTTTTGTTGTTGTTGTTTACATTGGAAGTTGATTTGAAGCATTTCAAAATAAAAGCAAAATTACCTGGATTATTATTATTTTTTTATTGTTGGAAGTTGATTCCAAGCCTTTCAAAATAAAAGCAAAAATACCAGTTATTATTATTTGTTTTAATCATTGGAAATTGATTCAAAGCCTTTCAAAATAAAAGCAAGTATACTTGGAGTACTTTTTTTTTGTTTACATCGGAAGTTGATTCAATGCCTTTCAAAATAAAAGCAAATATACCCAGAGTACTTTTTTTTTGTTTACGTCAGAAGTTGATTCAAAGCCTTTCAGAATAAAGGCTTATATACCTGGAGTATCTTTCTATCCTTTTTTTGTGTCAGAAGTTGATTCAAAGCTTTTCAAATTAAAAGCGATTAGACCAGGAAGTACATATTTTTTGACTGGTGTGCAAACGTTTTATTTCTTGGGGCTTTATTTTATGTATATGATGTTTATATGATTTTTGGTTTATTTTTGTGTTCAACAAAGAGAAAATACAAAACACGTGGGAAAAAACATCACCCCAGGTCCTCACAATGGAGGTGGGTCCTGACAATGAAGGTCTGCAGACAGACCTCTCTCAATACTGTTGATCACAAGATACATCCTAAGATCTACCAGAATAGATCATGATATCAATTTTTGAAGATTACTGTTTTTTCCAGGTTTTGAAAAATTGTTTCCAGGTCCTTAAAATGGGTCTTTATCTGTAATTCCAACCGCAGCTACATAATGTCAAACCAGACTTTATGAACTGTCAAGGGCGAACACAGAGCGCTCTGTAAAACAGAGCCAGCGGCCCACCTGAGGCCTGCAAAAGCGAACAACTCCTTGGTTATTGGTGGTCTGGCAGCTACAGGTAGAAATATGTGTGGCCTGAAGGGTCCACCAGAGCTGAACTGCCTACACATCTTCACGAACGTTATGACAGCCGGCGCCGAGGAGCTGAGAAGCTTAAAGTTAACAAGCCAGAATAAGAGCGCACTCTTGTCTGAGCCTGGCGAGACATTACACCCGTGATTAGGATCCCCATGCAAATGACAAAGCTGAAGTGAAGAAAGCCTCCACACTTGATTGAACGGTGTCTGCACCCCTCAGAAAGAAGGCGCTCTGATGCTTATCAGAAGGCATTTTGTTGGATTCCCGCTGCAGTCAGCTGTTTCTCTTGGCTGTTTATCTGTCAATAATGAGAGGCTCGGCAGCCGCAATCACAGGGACATACAAGAGGTCTTTGTTAGCTGGATCGGGCTGAATCACATTGGGGATTTTCATAAAAGCCTTTGACATCTGGACCAGTGGCAGCAGGCCTTTGTCGGTGTTTCCAATTTGAGTAATGGGCCTCAACATTGTTCCAGAACGGCACCGAGCGAGCGTGGGGCTTATTCTGTTTAATATGCAGCTAGAAACCGATGATTCAACCCGCTCGTAAACTGTTTGGCCCTCATTAGAGCCGGGGAATTCGCTTCGTATCTGCTTATGCATAAGTGGCGTTTTAAATTACGTCACCAGCTCCACAGTCTGCGACGCTGCCATCACTGATTTAAACGTGCATTTTGCTTCCTGCACACACATATGATGACTTTATTCCCAGCATCATGGAGGTTTGATTCCTCTAACACCAACACAGCCACTGTGAGGAAAAGAGTGTAATGGAGTTATATGTACCCGATAAAAACTAGACTACATCCTGGTGCGAGCCGAGCAGCAGCAAGCAGAACTCATCAAAGCGGGGACGTGAGCGAATGTGCTGAAATGAGCGGCTCATTTTGGGAACGAGATGCAGCATCCAGAGCCTCCGACAATTAAAGGCATGGATGACGATTGGAGAGATTGGTAATTATTATGAACCTCGTTTCTATGGCGATCATGGTCCTAGAGTGGGATCTCCACATAGTGAAGAGAAAAACGATTGGAAGAAATCTGTTCATGAAAGCAGGTGCAGGGCTGCAAAAACATTGACCAATGGGAGCCATCGGTCCTGGTCAATCTCCTGCTCCGCCTCTCCATCCAATCACTTCGCTGCATTCGACACATCCCTCTCCTGTAGTTCCGACTTGTCCCCTCCCACTCTCCCGGCCCTCCTCGGAGCTCTGAGCAGCTAAAAGTAGCGTAGCAGCTAGGCTACAGGAGCTGTGATGGAGTAGGACGCTTTTTTTCAGATCTGCCTCGACGGCTGAGTTTTTTCAACTGCTTCTCAGATGGTCAACCATGCCTTTAAGAGGTACAGTAAGTAACAGTGCTGATGAAACCAGATCTTTGATGAACAAATCAGGATGGATTCAGATCATGTTACTTTTGTAGGTCTCAAAGACGCATCAAAATAAGTTTTACTCATGTAATTTCTGACCGACTCCTGCATGTTTTCAACAGTAACTCACCGCACAACAGAAATAGAGAAGCAGGAGTGAAATGGAAATCCAGATTAAAAACCCACTCTAATTAAAATCATGTTTTCTTGTTGTCTACGTGTTCATATGGCATTTTTCTGATGCTACAGGACATATCATGAAAAAAAATAAGTGCAAAACCACATTTCTGAGTATTCCTGCATTCAAATCACCATGAACCTCTCACAGACCCAAACGTCGGGTTCAGAAACAGTGAGATTTCATACATCACAAATCCAAGCTCCGCCCCCGGGGCCGTGCTATGCAGGCCAGACTCGTAAAAGTAGAGAGGACGATCACAGAACAAGTGTTGCAATGCTACTACAAAAGCTAATTAAGCTAATATTAGCTTCCATCATGTCCTTAAAGACATCAGTGTCGAAGAGCTGAATAGCTTCAATGTTACCAACCACTCCTGCTGCACAAGCAATGTTAGGCTGCAAGCTAGTGTTAAGACAAGTGTGCAGTGCAGCGCAATCTCTGCCCACGACTCAGAGGCGAATTACTGATGATCTACTGGAGCTTTGCAGAAGAGAAGGCCTTGGAAATCAAACAGGTAACGAGGTTTTGGCTAAAAACTTCATAATCACAGTTTAAAGATCACTGAGGACACTTTAATAATAGAAAAAAGGAATGGAGTGGGATTTTAAAGAGGTAGGGACTACAATGCATGAACACATTTTCGAGTCACCTCGTCCACTTCTGAATGAATCAAATTTTCAAGGTCTCCTGTGGATTGTGACTCTTTGAAGCTGCGTTTCGAGTAGTTGGATGGACACATCTTCTACCTGGGCTGGTGAATGTCTTGGAGAGCTACACATCTCTTTTTAGACCGTCGATGTCTGAGTTAACGTTCAGCTTCAGACCTTGGTTTCTAATCTTGTCGACCTTTTAGTCATTCATAAAAAAAACTCCTGACATTGAGGTTTCAAGTACGCAGCTGCACTGCCTTCAAACCAAAGTTACTTTTGCTTTAAAAAAAGAAAAGTTTCAAGCAGGTTATTTAAGCTAAAAGTCCAGAGAAAATTCGCTTTTACATCCCAGTGAAGAGCTGCTATCTATAGAGCCTCATTGCATCAGATTGAAAAGGTAAACCCGTCTCCCTCAGTCTTGAGCATTTGTTTCTTTTCCCCTCTTTGCTGACCATCTGCCATGTGCACAAACACTGTACCGCCCACGAGCTCGCACATTAAATCTGATACATACGCATTTCACACCTCTGCTGCAGCAAGATGCAGCAACACCGCTTCCCCCGTTACAAGGTCCACTAGTTTTATTCCACTCGGGCGCTTAATCGCTCATCACTGTGGTCGTTGGGGTGTTAAGCTGTCCCATCACCGCTGCGTCTGAGGCAGAGCCACTAATTGAAAGGTATCACTTAATGCTGCTCGGTTTAGCACTCAAGGGCTGGAAATATCCCCTTCACAGGCTGTTTTAAAACGACAAGATTGAACGGGGTCATGCGGCTTATTGCTTCGATAGATCAGTGTCGCAAATTTAACGCTACTTTACATGTAAATAATACTCCGCTTCTCCAAAAAAGAGCGCAAATATGTCAAGGCTTGACACCGCTGAATAAAGGCAATTTAAGTGAGGTTCAAGTGCAGCTACCTCAGTAAGGGCCTGTCTCCACTGACAGCATTTTCTGCACTGGCAGCACCCATGACCCCAATTTCAGAGCACTTTCAAGGCGCTTTCTTTCTGCTAGGTTTCAAGTTCCTCTGCTCTACTTTCTCTCCTCTTAGCAAAGACCCTGAAGTCTGTTAAAAATCGCTCTGCATGCTTCATAGTCGCTGTTATCTGGTAGAAACTCAACCTGTGAATAAAATCGAATCCTATCAACAGCAGCACCTGAAAATCCAACTTGAAAACCAACAGTGGATGATAAACCCTTTGTGTGAACCTCTGTCATTTTTATTCACAAGGCGGAATAATAGAAGTCCTGTTACTTCTTGATTATAATTTGTCGGTGAAAGTTGAATTTTTTTCAACCAAAAGCAACTAAAAATACCTGAAGCTGAGGGTGATTTTTGCTTTTAGGACCTTTCGCTCAGAAAACACTCAACTGCACAGGGTTTTGTGTGAAGATTTATATCTGATTAGGGGTGTCCCGATATAAAATTTTTGCTTCCAATACGATAAAGATGCCGATACTTTGTTAGTACCTTTGTATACCCTGTTGGGCTCTGCATGCTAGATTGGGGCGTGGAGTCTGGAATGGACAGTTTATATCAGAGTGTTGATATCTGAGATTTTTAATGCTGGCCAATATAATCCAAAATTTGTATTTTGGCTGATATCGGACTGATATCCGACATCAATATTGTACCGGGACATCCCTAATCCTGCTAGTGCAGTGGTTCTCAACTGGGTTACTCTAGGACCCACATTTTCCCATAGTCCTTAAGTCACGACCCACTTTTATTGAATTCAAAACAAGCAAATTTATTTTTTAACAACAAAAAAACCTTTAAAGACTCTAATCTTTAACATAAATCCACTTGTTTATCGAGTAAAGTGAATTTCAGAGCACATGAAGGGGACAACATGAGTTCGACAACTACTGAAGTTGCATATCCAGAAAATATCAAATATCTAAAAAAATTCACATTAAATATTTACTTTTTAGACCAGCTGTTTGGGTCTGGACCCACCAGTTGAGAACCACTGTGCTCGTGCATTAACTGCCTTTGGTGGACACAGGCCCTTATTATTTTAAGCATCAGGTTCATGCCAGCCGAGGGATTCAAGGAGCAACTTTGAAATGAACAAAGACCATCACTTTGTAGAGAAAATAACAATATTAGCTTCAATAATACCATATCATTTACCATCTTGTGACTTTACATTAAATCGTCCCTTTGTGGATTTATTTCATGTAGCATTCGCCCTTCATTTCTTTACACAAACTCTTACAGCCTCAAGTTTTTGCACTTGACACATCAGATGAAACCTCAAAGATTAACTCACAAATGTGTTTTGGCCGAGCAGGAGGAAGATGGTTTCTGTCTTTTCTTAGCTCCTTCACTAAGACAGCTATTTAGAGATAAAATGCCTTTATTTCAGCACAGTGGGGTATTAATCGCGTCCCTTTCATGAAGATTATTGCTTTGACTCATGAAGTTGCCTCCACAAATATTTGCACATTGTGAAAACTGCAGAAAAAGTACTACTGAAGAAATCAAATCGTGACAATTTTCCGACAAAGGCCTGTCAAAGCTCGTCTCCCCTGGTTGCTTTCTTTGGTGCACTCGTAGATTAAGCACAGATTCACTCTCCATTAATTAGATTGAGATTCTTTAGGAGAATCTTTAGAGGTTCGATGGTTAATAACTCTCCATATAATTATTTGTTTCATAGTTTAACCCTCTGCCTTTAAGCTCAAGGCTAAACTCTCCCCATCTATCCTCCTAATAACATAAAAATGATCCCTTTCCTTTTTAAATATCATTACAATGACTTGAGTGCAATAATCTTGTTGGTATTTTAATTAAACAGCATCGAGCTGTAAGGCCTTTCCTAAGCCTCCGACCTCCCCTGGTGCTCGTACAGTCCACCATGAGACCAACACCCAGACTTGCCAACCACCAAACTTCCCCCACATCACAGTATCTTTCTAATGCATCTCAGTATGTGTTCGGACAAATCCCGCGAGCTACCAGGACAACACTGCAAGAGTCTGGTGTAATCTGCAGGAGCATGACCAGGAACAGGGTTCCTACAGCTCAGTGATACTGATTTTCTATAGAATCAATGCATCTTAACTTACAGCAGAAATCAAGTTACTGCTGCATGAGGCTCTATCCGAGTATCTCTACTGTATGTGAATAATGGCACTGCATAAATGAGGTACACAGAGTAGGAAAGATTTTCATTCCTACATTTATGTTTCTTAACTGAGTAGCTGTTGCTTAATGACTCTGCTAGGGCTGGGCGATATGGCCTCAAATCAATATAATCAATATAAATGGACAACAACTACTCCACAAGCTGCAACAAGCTACAACTTTTGAGCCGTCCTCCATCTCCTCACCTGTCTTTCCCTCTTTATTATGGACTGGATGGGATAGAGTCACGTCTCTGATGTAAGACAGTGTCTTAAAGGGACATGAGACCATAGCCTACCTACACACATCCAAAACCAACTTTTAATTATTCGAATATATCGATGTGGGCAAAATGATGCCGGTTATTGTCGTAAATTTTGATATAGGTAAATTTTTCAGTTTATCGCCCAGCCCTACACTCTGCTTGAAAGCAGGTGAGTCCACGGCAGCAGAACTTCTGCAGCAGCGATCCACAGGAAGCTACAGTCTGCTGGAGCACAGGTAAGACTCATAACTCTCTAACTTTGTTCTGGACTATGACTGTGTCTCTCCATCTTTCATCCCTCTGGTACTGGGGTTGTGAGCGACGGCAAGCCTCAGTCATGACTAATACACTCGCTTTACAAACATCTTGAGTTATCCTCTGTCGGTATTCAAAGTCTAGACTCCGAACATAAGACGACACCACTCTTTTGGATGTATTTAAAAGAAAAAAGTCTTACATACAGGTCTTTAAATTTTAGAAATAAGCAGGCAAGTCTGGAACTGACAGGAGCTCAACTATGATGTACAGGGTGACCATATTCTGATTTCCCCAAAGGAGGACATGATTGCACGGGGGCAGAGTCACACAAGGGGACTGATCAAGTGCCTTTTATGCACTTCTAACTCTGTAAATCCATGTGACGCAAACTTGAAGCTTGTGAACAAAATCGCGGACATTTTAAGGATTTTATAGACTTCACCGGACAAACCCCAAAAAAGAGGACATGTCCGGGTAAAAGAGGACGTACGGTCATCCTGATGATATATGTTAAGACAAAGCGACAGCTGATTGTTTCCAGTTGGGTGTCTGATTTTGGACTTTTAAGGATAAGGTCTCGTCTCTGTAAGGATATATTTGAAAGCAGAGCCCCTAAAGCCTCCGCAGTTCATAGTTTCCACATTAACTGAAGGTATTTCTGCTCGCTTTCAACACATGACGGAGCAGTTGAAAGACGATGCGCAGGTGCTGCTTTCACTCTATTCATGTCATGTCCGTGGGACCTATCCTTCCTCTCGACTCATGAACAGAAGCTTTTACTATAGTGATTGATGGCTTCGCTAAATAAAAGGTTATGCAGATGTGAGACAGATGTTCAGATTCTCTGAGTGGTAGAAAATAAAAACATCCAGAGACCTGTAATACGGCCTGGAATTTCACAAAGCATATGCTGCTGCGAGCTCATTATTATTCATTTTAATTTATCCTCTTGACATCTCGGATAAGCCATGAGAATTTTGCGTCGTGTACGATGTAATGAAGAAATCTCCACAGATGCTTTGTCTCGAAGTGCGAGTCGTTTGGCTGTGACACTAGAAGTCAAACAGCAGGTCTAACAAACAATGCCGACGCGAATTTTCGAGAGCGGAAGAAAGCATCCTGAATGAGTTAGAGGCGGCGCTGTGATGTTGGGGCCCCTCATCTGTAAACAAATATGTGCTCCAGTTTAAGATGCATCTTTGCCATGCAGGAGGGAACGTCTGGTGTGGAAAGCACAAAGGGAGCAGATCGCATCAAAGGCCCGATCCTCAGATTGTCTCCAGAGAACAACCTCTTTCTGTTCCCGGTTTCAAAAGTAGCTGCTACTCCCATGTGCCGTTCCCGAGTGAAGTTAAAAAAGAGCCTTGAGCACACACGATCCTACCATGTTTAAACATTATAGATGGTTTAAAAAAAAAGAAAGAGTTCCCAACACCATTTAATGTGATAACAATTCCTAATCAACAGCCAAACCATTTTGGATGCGTTTACAGATCGACTGAAGCATCTCTTTTTGACGGATGTGTGTTCCAGGAATTGGCAAACCAATTGTCAGAAACATCCACTTTTGATCAAGTGTAATTAATAAAAAGAAAAAAAAATGAAGGTCTCCAAGGAAACGAAATTAATGTTCGAAACTCAAACTCATGATCAACAGCAATCCGTCAATTTGATACAGTTTGTGAAAGACCTAAGAGCACAAGGACGAATAGTAGACCTACATGTGAAAGACCTAAATGCTAATTTTTAATAAGGTTGATGAAAGTGTGTGCTCATCTGGACTTTGCGATAACCAATTTCAGGTGTTGGATGAAGTCTAACCGTCTAGAACAAGGGTGGCAAATTTAATTTTTACATGGGGCCACATGAGAAACCTGAACTGTGTTGGAGGGCCGAACCGACAACAACTCACACATAGAAAAAGCCCAAATAAGCAACTATGAGTTAAAAACAAGCCCAAAAAAAAGCATCTGCGACTCACAAGTTTTACAAGCGACTTCTGAGAGAAACACGCCTAAAGTCTTTTATAATAAGCGAACTTGGCAACTATGAGTCGTCTACGTATATTTTTCCGATGTCTCTGTACGCAGGTGCATGCAAACAGAAATAAAACAACGGCTAGGTTTTCAAAATAAAAGCGACACACTTGTTTGGCGGACCTCACGAAAGGCTGGGCAGGGACATCCAAAGGGCCGGATGTGGCCCTCACGCCGTAAAATGCCTAGGTCTGATCTAGAAAATGCTAACAGTAGCAGAGCTAGCACATTTCTCCAGGTGAATGGTTACGCACCAATGCAACACAGCCTACACCCAACTTAATCCCTGTTTCCTAATCAAAATACTGCTAATCCACGCCATGATCAAAGATGCCATCTGTCACCTGTGTCCATTTGCATCCATGTAGTAGAGCATTGCAGCAATTTGGCTATAACCAATAACCTCTGCATCGTTATCCTGGAGGTCGAGGATTGGAGGCTTTGGATAATTCACGATGGTGCTAATCTGTCAAAGGGAAGATCATTTCTTTTAACATGAGTCTGGTCCTGCTCAAGGTTATGAGATCGATCAAATCTGTCCCAAGCTTGGGTCTAGGTAATTCATCGAACAATGAGCGTGGTCTAGACTTGATCTTTTTTGGAAAGCGTCTTGGGATAACAGCTGTTGGCGCTACATAAATAAAATTTGATTGATTGAATTTGATTCCTCTTCCTCTATAAACCCTCGGGGGCTTCTGGCTACAATAGACTCGCCTAATTGCTCCG